TCATCACTTTCAGACTGCTCTTGCTCCTCAGTTAAGTGCCTGCTTTGGGGAACCAGCAGATGGTGTAATGGTAATGTTGCTGGACTCCCACATAGTCAACTGCTATTCAAATCCCAGACCCGACAGCTTAAATTCATGCTGGTTGCATATGCGTGTGTGCCCAAAATCCCAAGAGAATAGAGGAGAAGGGATTGCACCATAGCAATCCCCGGGGATGGGGGTGGGAGGGTCCTCTCTCTCTCTCTCTCTGTCTCTCTCTCTGGCAAGTGCACATGCCCTATAGTAAAAATATATTTAAAAAAAAAAAAGTCTGCCTTGGAACACATGCCTTTCTTTTTCTCCCTCTATCCCCTCATTTGTGGAGGATGTCTTCTTTATCTTCCTGAGAAGTTTCACTGGAGACAAAATTGAGGAGATACTTCTCTCTCAAACATCTCTATTTTATCTTTATGTTTGAATGACAGTTGTCTGAGTGTAAAATTTTATCCCTATAAAATCGTATGTTGAAATCCCTACACATGTTCAGTGTTGCTGCATTGCATTCAAGCTTCTCATTTGATGCCATTTATATTCTTCAGCCTTGGATGATTTAGTGATCTTTCTTCATGGAAACTGCAAACTTTCACCATGATCTTTTGGCTTTGGGAAGTAAGTGAGTTTTTTAAATCTTACATCTTTCTGGGAAGCATCAGTTAGTGTAATGGCTATGTCGCTGGACTCTCACATAGTCGACCGCGGTTCATGTCCCGGACCCGGTGGCTTAAAACTCATGCCGGGTAGGTGTGCGTGCGTGCCCAAGATCCCGAGAGGAGAATGGAGGAGAAGGGATTGCGGTGTGGCCATCCCCATCTGGGGGGTGATTTCTCGCTTTCTGTCTCTCTGTCTCTCTCTGTCTGTCTGGCAAGCACACGCACCCTACAGCAGAAAAAAATTAAAAAAAAAAAAAACCTCTCCAAAAAAAAAATCTTACATCTTTCATGTTAGGGATATTTATATATTATTTCTTTGTTGTTTTCATTCCCACCATTGACTCTCTATTTTAGTATGGAATTACGCAATTGAATTTACTGGCTTGAACACTCCTTACTTTTTTAAAATTTCTTCAGTCTTCTCTCTACATATATACTATGCTCTTTACTATTTCAGTTTTGCCTTCTTTTTTTTTTTTTTGTCTTCCACATTTTTAGTAATGTTTATGCCTATCATACTTATTTTTTCTGAACTTTGTTGTTGCTTTTTAAATGATGTGAATTACTTGATATCCATGAAAGTGACCCAGGAGTTAAAGCATCTCTAAGATCCAGAGAACCCAGGTCAATCACAAAAGACCTTGTCATCAATTAAGTTACTTCTTTTCCCTTTGTTTTTCCTCTTTCTTATTCCCCAGCACTGGAGAGGTCATAAAAAGCAGCTCATTGTCTGGGAAGAATTGGTAGACTCACCGAGGAGAGAAAAGAGAAGCATTAGTTTTGAATTGATGTGAAGTTTTTATTACACAGAGCTGTGTCTTCTCATTTGTAATCTAGCACGTTGATCTATATTATGTAGGAAAGAGATCCGTTGAAGGTTTACTATAAGTAGGCCTGTGGCAAAATCATAGCGTTTCCAGTGTGTTGACCTTGTCTAAGAGCAAAAGGTGATAGTGGGAAAACTGATTTAAGGAAGAAAGCTCAAGCAGAGATTAGTAAATTTTGTCAAGGAAAAATATTGTGTCTCTATGTCGGGACCAGTAGAATGGTGGTTAAGACACTACACTCCCACATGGCCGACCATGGTTCAAACCCCGGACCAGGCAACTTTCTCTCTCTCTCTCTTTCTCTCTCTCTCTCTCGTTGCATAGCACATTTAAAATAATAATAATCATCATTAAATTAAATAAGTAATTATTTAACAAAAGAAAAAAGAAGCCCCTATGCTACAACAGCAACGTAGGGAGAAGCAAGTAGGGTTAAAGTATAGGTAAATCCTTTGCACTTGGTAAAACTTAATGTACCTTGATTTTCAGGATTAGTTAAAAATTGGAGCTATTTTAGAGCAAAGAAGAAATATAGGTTGTAAATTATAGACAGCTGACAACTAGAAATGTATTGTCTTTGGAGGTGTCAACAGTTAAAATGCAAATCTTACTCCCTTTTTCAGTCGCTCCCTTCCACCACTCAGATATCCCCAGCCTTTCCAGCCATACTTCATCCCACCTCACACTCTGCAACAGCAGCTA